TGTGAACTTTACCTGTTGGAGATTTTATCATGAGCTTATGAATATCTCTAACATTGCTTTTCACTTAAACGCAAACAGAAGTATAGGTGATGGAAGTTATTTTTTTTCTTTTTAACAGCTATTTAACTTGCTTTGTTCTGAAAATTGCAACAGATTCGTGTTAAATTAGTGCTCAGTTATAATGATATCTATATAATCCAGAAATTTTTCTTTTCATAAGCAGTCAACACTAGAAACAAAGGGAATTTTTCATCCTTTTTCTTTAATGTACTAAAAAATGTACCAGCTTCGGAACGCGGGCGATTTTTATCTTGAATTTGCTTTGTGTGTTTGTACCCTTCCCCAAAGGCGATATTAACTGATCATTAGTGAAAGGTTGATTCTCCTGAAATGTGTCATTTGCAGACATGTATTTACAAACTCTTCAGAGAGAGTGTCTGACTATAAGAATTCAGCAGAAGCTTTATAGTGAATTTTAAAAATGAAGTGCTTTTAACATTTGCAGTACAAACCATAATGTATTTTTAAAAACATAAGCCTGATAAGAGAATTGAATTTGGTAAGAAAGCAGATCATTTTCTTTTTGGGGGGAGTGCCTAAAGCCATAATAATTTGTACTTACCGTCAGTAGGATGTGATTTTAAAATTTCTAAGACTATTTTAAATTATTTCATATCATACTACTTAATTTATTATCTTTTTAAGGAGGTATTAACTATTTAGAAATCCTAGATTTTAAATTATCAATCATTTATTCTTTTCCTAACTGTGACAAGGAAAATAATTTAACCTTTTACATTTTCAGAGTCATCAGTCCACTCAAAAGTTTTTGAGTGTCAGACAGTAAATTGTGTGTACATAATTCTTTAAATCCTGTAAGCAATAAAGTAGAAATAGGATTTATTCAAATTATATTACCAGCATGAGATTACCTAAAATACGGCACATCAGTCATTAATTAGCAGACAACTAATTCATCCACTTGACAAGTATTATTGGTAACCTAGTGTGCAGCAAGTGCTAACATTGACTTTTAAAAATTATTTCATTAAATTATTATGCTTTTAAAGTTAATTACCAAATTTTATATTTGTCACTTTGGAAGGAGTTAATTACCTTAAGTGACAATTTCTAAACTGTTGGGGGGGATCTAATTCAGGTAAGAAGCCCCCTAGCTAAAGTTATATGGCACTGAGTTAAAGGTTCATAAAATAAAAATAATGCTTATAATGTTTATGACAGAGAGATAGTTAAAAAGGTTTTTTTTTTTGTTTGTTTGTTTGGGGGTTTTTTGGTCTAAATGAGAAATGTTGCCTTTCTGAGATGTCTATCTGAAATTTCTAAATACTTTTGCTGATGACTACAATTTATGGGAACAGTTTTGATTCAATATTAAACGGATTGTTTATAAAGTTACATATTTTCTATACATGTGTAGATTTCACATGTCCTGTTTTGTGATTTGAATAGCTGTACTGATTTTTAAATTAAGGTGTTGATTTTTCATTTTATTTATTCATTTTAGAGAGAGAAACATCAATTTATCATTCCACTTACTTATGCATTCAATGGTTGATTCCTGTATGTGCCCTGACCGGGATCAAACCTGCAACCTTGGCTTATCAGGACAACGCTCTAACCCAGTGAGCTACCCAGCCAGGGCCTAAATTAAGGTTTTTAATATATACACTAAAATCTGAATTATACACATCTTCATTGTAACTTGTCTTTCGATCTTTCACATGCAAGATATTTTCATGTTATGACTTAAGTCTTTTAAAGTAAAAATCATGCTATATTTATAGAGATTGAGTCAGGTCTTGTTTCTTTTTATTCCTTTCATTATTAGTTTCTTCACTTCTGCATTTCACACTGACATCAGAGATTATTAATCAAGTAGTAACAGGTAAAGGCCTTTCAAAATTCAAAACAGGGACAGCATTTTGATGACTAAGTCACTAGTCCTAATGTTTTTTTCCTCTCACTATTTTCCCTTTCCTATTCAGTTAAACCAGCCAGGGGTAAATTTTTCAAATCAGTATCTTTAGTAAGTAACTGGAATATATAAGTGACTTTACACCTGGACACAGCTAAACAACCCATTTAAGAGCAACTACACTTAGTGCTCCACCGTTTCATAGAATATTGGAACTTGAAGGAGGTAGTATCTGATGCAGAAAGGAAGAAATAGTCTGAGGAGGTTGAATGAGTTGATCAGGGTCACATAACTAAGTAGATTGCAGGAGATCACATCTACGATTGACTGAGCATATATACCTCTCGGTTTCCCAGAAATGAATCTGTGACCCAGATAGTGGTTGGTGCATGGAAATAAAGACCTGTCTTCTCCTCGGTCTTGACTAAGTCAGAGGTGGACAACTTGGTAGTGCCTTTATGCCATATGAAGAATTTTAATCTGTATTGTAAGAGCAATGAAAAGTCTTGAAGGAAAGGATTTAAGAAGAGGGCAGTATGATCAGTGTCTCATTTTTAAAAGATCAGCCTGTCCTCGCATGATAATGATGAGGTAGAAATAGGTTAGATTGGAGAAAGGATGATAAATTGGGGTGCTACTGCAGAAGTCTAGCTTGGATTAGGGTAATGAGAAGAATGTCAAAAAAGGAGAGGTAGAAGGAATGTGTAAGATATTGGTTGAGGAAAGAGAGGAGTCCTACGTGTGGTACCTATATTGCTGACATGGTAGATAAAGTCCATTAGATAGTGGTACCATTTTTCTTAGAGGTCCATCTTATGGTGTGGCAGGAAGACCATGAATTATGATTTAGATCCCTTATGTTTAAGAGTTTGTGAGCAGTTCTTATGTAAAACCAAAACTGAGAGGAGAAATCAAGCTAAGATGTGAATGTAATTAGGGCCATGACTCTAAATGAGATTCTCTAGGTAAAGAATGTAGAATGAATAGTGGCCAAATATTGTGTGGAGAGGAACAAGTACACTAGTTTTCATATAGTGGATATCTAAAAGGATGAGATAAATATGGCTGTAGTTTAGCTCTCTTCCTCTGTTACCACATTGAATATAAACAAAAATGATCAGAGAGAAAATGTATACATCAGTCAGGATTATTTCTTGAACTCAGTGAAGTGTCACTCAACTGCTTGGAAATATCTTTTGTTTTAAAGGGTATTTATAACATTTTTAGTTCATGGGATTTTGCCTAAATTCCACATCAAATTTAGACGTGCATTATTTGTAACATAGTTTTCTTATTTAAAAAATAAGTAAGTTTTTCATAAAATTCTACAAAATCTATAATACTGTAGAGTCATAGAACCCTCCAGCTGCCCTGTTTATAATCTTCTTCCTTGGGTGTCTCATACAATTTCTCAAACTTAATGTTTTGAAATTCAACTTCAACCTGACTTTGATAAAGTATTTGAACAAGAGAGTCTCTACACAGAGTCAAATAATTCAGAGACTTTTCATCAACTGATAAATGCTTTGCAAAAAGCAAATCTCCACTCTATAAGCCATCAACTCTCATTTAAATTCCTAGACAGGTTTCAAAATGTGCTTTTTCTCTGGTCTTTTCTATCAAGTCACAAAGCTCAGAGCTGCTTTAATTCTTAATTCACCCTAACCCACTACACTAATTCCACAGTTGAGTGTGATTATCACTTCCTCCAAAATATTACCTCCAGTCTGTCCACTTCTCTCTCCCTCTATCATTGCTGTGGTTCGGGCTGCCACCATCTCTTGCCTGAATTACCACAGATCTCTTCTAACTTCCCCCTGCTTCCCTTCTTGCTGCTGTCCCTGAACCATTCTCCACAGAGCTGATAAAGCTAGAAGGTGTTTTTCTTAAAGGAAATTAGACTGTTCAGCTCCCTTGCTCAGAACCTGTACATGATTTCTACTCTTACAAGTATTGACTCTCATTTGGATTCCTAAATAGGTTTCAAAGTACCTGTAATGCCATTGGTTCCGCTTAGCAGTGGATTCTTTGGGGCTTAGTGACTCATATACAGGGTGCTCCACACTTGCATTCCTCTTGGGTGAGAAGCATCAGAGAGAACAAAAAAACGTCAATTACAACATCAATGAGAACTGGGCCCAAATCTCAGGTCTCTTGTGTATTGACTGTCAAACTTGGGCAACTTTTTGTTTGTTTTGTTTTGCTCTGAGCTAGTCTCCAACCGGGCAGGCTATGATGGGGATTAACTGATGAAGTGATTGTAAGGCACCTGGAACAAAGGAATGCCTAAACATGGTTCTGATCCTTACCTGCTTACAATATTTATCCAACATTATCAGAGGGACTTTTATCAAATTTTTAGACTGCTTTATGTCAGCTTAGAAACTGTAGTAGTATACATGTGAACTTGTGAAAAGAAACAATTGATGAACATATTGACCAGAATTCCTTGATGGCTTCTTTCCTTAAAGTAAGGAGAGAAAAACGATTCTTCTTCTGAGACAAAGGTAAATGTTATAGAGAATACAGTTTTCTCTAGTTTTTATTTGTTCTTTTTAGTCTCTAAAGACAAAATCTTAAAGATTGTGGACTACTTCAAAGACAGAAGAGAAGCACTTAGAGTGACACATGGAGGCCTTTGCAGGTTTCTGTTTACCCGGAGATGTATATGTTTAAAGCCCTAGATAGGAAAATATCAAGAGTGGAATTGAGGCAGCCCTCCATATTGAAGTGCTAGAATGAAATCTTCGGTCACAATGATTTCACAAAAATAAATGTTAGTTTGGCACACGAAAGAAAGGGAGTGTGTTTCGATTTCATTTCTGTTGTCAGTGTGTTATGTTTTAATCCGTCACAGGTTTTGGATTAAAATGTGTTATGTTTATCACCATACTCAAAGAAATATTTAGGCTCAAGCAGAGCAAATCGGTCAGTATGTTTAGCTCTTCCCTGTCCTGGATGGAGCACTGGTACATTTTTTATTTCCATAAAGAACTGTCAAAAACACCCAATACAAAGATAATAATTTTCTTTTGTTTATTTTCTCTTCCCCCTTTTTTTCTAGGACTATGAGAGTTTTTTTGAATCAAAGGAAAGCAACACAGTCTTTTCATTCTTAGGCCTGAAATCACGGTTGGCATCAAAGGTAGGTGAATCTTTTCTTGTTTTAAAATTCATCTTTCCTTGCTCTCTTGGGGAAAGTTGGTTAGAGCATTATCCTGGTATGTCAAGGCTGCCGGTCTGATCCCCAGTCAGGACACATACAAGAAGCAACCAATGAATGTATAAATAGGAGGAGCAGCAAGTCAGAGTATTTTTCTCTCTCTCTTCTCTCTTTCCCCTTCCCTCTCTTTCTCTAAAATCAATCGATAATTTTTTTTAATATTTATTTTTCTTTAGTTGTTGTTAATTGTTCTCAATTGAGGTTGAGAGTGCTAGAGGAATGGATATATGCCCTAGATATTTAGCTTTCACTTTCTTGAATGCACAATTATAGACTGCCAGTGTAAAAACACAGAAAGAAGCCTAGTTTTTCCCTTTCCTTTCAGTTTTCAATTGTTGCTGTATATTAGAGTTTATTTTTATTTATAATTTAATTTATTTATAATTTTTATCCCCTTCTTCCAAGAATTTAAGGTAGCAAAAAGCGGTAGGTGCTTTCAGTTTTTAAGTGCAAGTTTACATTACTTTATGCTTTTGAAATAGTAGCATCAAAGCCATATTTTTAAGGTCTTTTGCATATTGAATTCATTTAAATTGGAAGAGAGATGGTCTGCAGTAACAAATAGTCAACCTTGGAAAAACTACAACTCTTCAAAATGTTTTTTAAAGCTAATTTATTATGTCATGTCTTTTGGACAACACAAAAGGCTCAAGGTTTTCTAATATTTAGGTCTACAAATGATATATAATCACAACTTTGTGAAATACATGGATTCACTTTCAAAATTAAAAAACAGCATTTCCTTGTTAAATAAGATATTTTATTTCCCCTTTTAAAAACACTGTTTATTTGTTGTTGTTGTTTTTCTGATTATGAAAGTAGCCTCGGCTTACTTGGAAAACTTGGGGAAGTACAAAAGGTATAGAGTAGAAAATAAAAATTGCACCACCCAGAGAAAAACACATTAACATTTTTGTTGTATTTCTGTGCAATCTTTATATACATCGCAATTAAGGTTTTGACTGTGTTTCAGTGAGACCAAATTCTAAAGTGTCATTTTTAACACTGAATTGAAAGTGCCTTGCTGAGATATTTGATGTCTGTAAGTGATAGATCTTTTGAGGCTACCCAGGAGTTGTACCATTTCTAGAACACCTGTGGGAAGGAAGGCAGGGACTATCAGTAATAAAAATTATTCAACAGACCCTGTAGTTTGTAGCCAATGTGAAATCTTGCTTTGTTTTTGCACCAGTCAGTCCACAGATGGCTGTGGGTGGTTTCCATGTACATGTTTTAAACAGAGGCAAAACCCACACATATAATATTAAAAGCGTTTTAAGACTATTTTGATAAAGATGGAACATTGGAATGCTTGCTAGAAAAATTGTAGTATTTTATAACATGTTTCATCCATGGATATTAAACAGTCCAGATTTATCTTCAAAGAACGGGAAAAAACTGGGTAGAAGTAATCAAATGGATGCATAAATCCAGGGGACATCATTGTCTATGCAAAAACCTTCAAAAAAAAAAAAATACTGTGTGCGCTTTCCTTCTTTGCTCTTATTGTCCCCAAAGATTTGGATTCCTTAGATACTGTGGGCGGACTATTCTATTCTTTGTGGATTTTCTTTTTATACTCACTCAAGGATATTGTTTTCCTGCTTTTTTTCAAAAGAAAGAGAGGGAGAGAGGCACAATGTGAGAGAGAAACATCAATTGGTTGTCTTCTCGTAGGCGCCCTGACCGGGGAAGGAACCCGCAGCCTGAGTATGCACCCTGACTGGGAATCGAACCTGTGACCCTTTGGTCTAAGGAACGATGTTCCAATGAAGTCACACGGGTCAGGGCTGACTGTTCTACTCTCTAAAAATATTTATTCTCTCAGAAATTTCTAAAGAAACCTATGAACCATAAAATATGCATTCTCACATGACTTGGGGTCATAATATTACAGTTGGCTTTGATGCCAGTGATGTTGACTTGATTTTATCAGACCATTCCAAAAACAGCAAGGGCTCCAGGTACACCACGCATTTGGCCCACCATTTTCAGGTGTTTGCATCAGTCATACCTGAGCAGAAGCACATGGAAGGAGAGCGAAGTCCACGGTGCCGTTTGTGTCACCTCTATCGTGAACCGTTTGGGGCCTTAAGGGTTAACAGCAACCCATACTACATTCATCTTCATAGGAAAGAAATAAAATTACCTTTAAGAGCATTTTCCCCCTTTCTAGTTACTTATTTTTTACCTTGGTAGTAATTCGTTATACCGCCTGTACACTAAGACCTGGACAGAGCGTGCACTGGTGTAATGCACCGAAAGACGGAAGCCCCCTTTTTTCATCTCCTTTTCTACCCTCCCTACAGTGTACACACGGAAAAGACAGTGCTAGAAAGCCTGCCAGGGGACATAGAAAGACCCTGTTAGCATCTGTAACTGTTCTTACACAGTGAATAGACAGAAGAGAAATAGGAAGAGAACATTTATGGGCCCAAAGGGCCCAGATGCAGTGTACACTCCGGCCACTCTCAAAAGCAGGCAGGGCAGAGGAAGGAGCGAGGTCACACCGGCTCTGGATGAGTTTGCACAAGACTTTTTTAAAGAATTTAAATGAGTCGTTAGTGTTTAACAGATTTCCCGCTTTTCTCAAGAGGTTGAAAGGTCTGGAAACCCTGGGGAAACCCACTTTCTTCTACTGCTGTCTAGAGCCAGCAGTGTTTGGCCCAACATGGTGCCTACTTAAGAAAAAGGAAACCTTTTCACCAGTAATTTTCAGGTAGAAAATCATCAAGTTTGCTCTTTTAATGGACTCAAAGCAGGGACTGAAGTAGAAAGTTTCTGCTTTCAGAATGCTGCTGTTTGGGAGTGTTAACGGCTGGTATACCCTGGGCACTGACCAGCCGGAGCAGGGTGGAGGGCCCCCCTAAGCCAGTGTCTGTTCGGTGGTTGAATCATGGAGCCATTCTGGGGATTGGGGCAGCAGCTATTTACCAGTAGGCATGGCCGTACTTCCTAAAGTAGGCATGTTCTTCACGTTGAGTCCCTCCCCACCTGGCCTCGGGAAGGTGACCCCCACATGCTCCGCTCACCCAGGTGCACTTAGAACAGTACCTCTGAAGGGAGTCTTGGCGGTTGTAAAAACATGGTTCTTTCCACTTTTATATTTGGCAGGTCAAGTGTGTGGGATTTAAATCTAGCCTTTTATCCTGAAACCCAGGATTTGTTCTTGTCAATCACATGGGGGTGCTTTATTGTGATTCCCAAAATCTCTGTTCCTGACATTTAAAATACCACTGCCCAGGGTGAATTTTTTTGTTAACACAGTACAATAACTAACTTTTTTTTTTTCTTTCTTTCAATTTTTTAATAAATAGGCAGAACCTTAGAGAAGACAAGCGGAAGATGATGGAGATGCATTTTGGAGCACCCCCTGGTACTCGGCACACACCTGCTTACCTAATGCATCACTGTGACAAAAGCCACATTCATCATCAGTAACTTTGCTTGCATTTGGAGAAGGTGTTTTTGGAAGATGTGGGTGTAATGGGATTGCATGATTGCTTTAAACCAAATCAGAACTGTGGTGGATTTTTTCTTATTTTCAGAATTGCCTGCAGTTGCCTCACTCACCTGGAGGTACTGTAACCTGTTACAGGTGTGCTTCCTTAGTGACTGAAAGATAAGTGAGTGGCCCCATCAGAGAAAATGTTGAATCTGCCCTAGGTTGTAGTTGGTGCCAGTATTGCTCAGACCTGCTTCTCTTTAAGCTGCCTGGAATGTATCCTTAAAATTAGTCTGCCAGGCTATTAAAATCTATTGATCAAAAAGAAAATAAAAAAGAAATGCTGGTTGACAAAGGGATGAAGATTTAGAATCACAAATGTCACCATTTTAATGCTTTGTAATAACTCCTACAGAAAAAGTTCGATGTTCTAGCCTCATTTTGGTAACGTAAACTTTTACCCCCGTAACTTCTTCAAGCTTCTACATATGTTTCCAGAAATCACGGTTGCAACAGTGTGTGTTCAGACCCAAGTTATAGGGATGAAAATAATTGCTATTTTGGAAAATAGATGCTTCTTTATCTCTTGCAAGGGGAATGTTTCACCTAAATGCATAAGAATGCTTAAAAGATATATTTTAAGAGGTGCACTAATTAGATAATAAATTTATAGGAAAAGTAACTGACTCATATCTGAAGGCATTTTCAGCCCTAGCAACTTATTATACTTAAGTGCACACACATATCAGGATATTTTTAAATGCAGCTACCCTAACTAACAGCTGCTTATTCTATTTTGTGAAGGGATTATATTTTTTTGAGAAAGGAAGACCTTGGTTGGATATATTTTGTGAACTGCTGATGAGGCATATTTAAAAGGTACTAATATTGCTGCACAATTTAATTTTTTTTCCTGTCTTACTTTCCATTGGTTCTCTGATTTTGCTAGTTCATATTTCTGGTCAATACATAGTCCCAGATTTTTCAGAGCAATGTAGACACATGCTCTCATTCCATAGACAAGCTCAGTGAGTTTCAGAGCAGCATATATGAGAAAGGGGCCTTTGGAGATAAATCTCAATTGTACTTGGCATGCAAAATCTTTACTCCCTTTGGAGTGGATGCTTATAAACACTGAACTTGTCTGTTGTATCAGGGCAGAGGCTCCTTTTTTGCATCTTTGTCCCTGCTTATATTTTTTAGAGTTTTTAGTTGCCAAATGTGGGAACAGTCTTGATTGACTAGGATCAGCTATCGGAGGATTGCCTAAAATGTTCTGCTATTCTCAGCATTGTGATGCTGGACCTGCCATTTAGATTCTGAGCAGGAAGTTTATAAGAAATTGAAAGAACAAAAGAATTAAAGCCCCGTCTCATATGTCCTCTCACCCTCCAGCTTGCTAAATGTGGACTTGTTAAATGCTAAAGCTGAAATCCCAGCCTGAGATTTGTGGCCCAGGACTACAATCAGAAGCAAAGTATGCCACAGATTTCTACCTGACTGGAACAGATACATGATCCACAGTTCTTTCTCCAGGGAAAGCTATTGTGAAATCATGGGTCTTACTGCTTAGTTGGCATTAAATAAGATCCAGGTCAAATTCCATTTGATAAATCCCAGGGACTATCCAGGAATTTTTTTTACCTGGATAATGTGTTTGAGTCTTCTGATAAGACTTAAAATTTCTTTTTAAGCTAGAGCAGTTAAGATTTTTTTTAATGTTACAGTAATGATCTAATTTATATTGTCTACTCTTGCCAACGAGCACCAAGAACTAACTTGTTAAGATCGAGACTTTGTAAATTGAATTACTGTGGCTCTGGTAGGCCCAGTATGATTCTCCTAAACAGACTAGATGAATGGTAGTGCTAAATTACTATCACAGTTACACACTGTCTACCCCTCACCCCACTTTTTTTTTAAACCAGCAAAGAAATAGGAGAGATCATCCTCTGCTGGTGCCATACTTGTTCTGAGTGAGCTAGAAGCATGCCCAGGCTCTGCAGGGTTCTGAGGGATTGCCCTCTGGGACCACACTGTCTTCAGAGAATATTGTGTCCTTCCTCGTACTGTTTTACCAGCTGAATTTCAAACGTGTAATGATTTTCTCATTCCCTTCTTTAACAAGCTGCCTTTAGATTTAGGTAACCACAGTCTTAACAGCCTAGGAAAGAAAGTGGATGGGAATTGCAGGCATAGATATAATTTCAAGGGCATTGCAAGGCAGAATGTTTATTTCCTGTAGGACACTTGTTGGGACAAAGGAAATATGCTGCCAGAAATCAAAGTATGCCATTTTAAAATCAGCAAAAATACAGAGTGCCATCCTGCTAGGTATATGCAGACCAGAGGGAAATTTAGTTGGGGAAATACTTGTTTTTTTAACAAATTCTGGTGTTCTACTAAAATCAAAGAGGAGAGAAGAAGATTTTTTTTTCTCAGACTTTAATATATTTTAGATTTGTTTCTGTTTTATAGATTTATTCAATATCACCACATAGATGTTTTTGTATTACATGAATTTATAACGAACTAAACCTGTTTCTTCCTCTGTTATTAAAAGGTACCAAAGTCTCTTTCTGTTTTGTTTGTTTTGGTTTTCTAAAATTTGATTTTGCTATAGAGGGTTTTTTTTTTCCTTGAAATGCTTTTCATTTAGCAGTTTTTCTTAAGTGTCAGAGCCCACCTTGGTCTGCATAGTTGTTATTTTTACATTTCAATTTGTATGCATTTGTCCCTAAAGGCATTGGTGAAATCTCAGATTTTATATTCAACATTAAAGAGGAATAAATTCCAGAAAACATGTATTCTGAAAATGGACTGTTTGTTCCCTACCATTTCTTACACCTTTTCTAATTTTAGTTCTGTGTTTTGATGAAACCTTCCTGTTTAGTTGGGACGATCTGTTTCCACTCCCATTTGTGAACCCCATACCTGCAGATTAGTTGTAAAAATGCAGACATACTGTTTGACCATTTAAGGAGATGTAGTCTGTGTATGTGTGTGTATGTGTGTTGGGAGGTGACCACAGAATCATCTCAGACAGCAACCAGGACCAACATGGCGTTAAATCACTGGTCCCTTGGTTGGTTTAAAATAGATGACTGGTTTCCTGAATACACTGAAGCCCCCAGCAGTGGGTTTGTTCCCCTAATTGGGAGCAGGAAACAAGTACAGTGTAGGTGCCACCTTTAATAGAAGGGCCCCTTTGATGCAGCCTTCTGTGAAAGGAGAAGAAAACATTTCTGAAGGCAGTATCTAAAGTTGATCTCATCACTGAACTATTTCAAACCTTGAACACCAAAACAGTGGGAGGGTAAAGGAAGAGATAAAAGAGTAAAAGAGAACAGACTGTAAGTTTGCAGAATGTGCTAAAGCATGAAACCAAATAAGCCACCCACTTGTAACCCTGACTTTGAAAGTTTTCCTAGTTTTTTCAGAAGTGCAAGTCAGGTTAGTTTAGTCATCTTCCCAATCAGCCCTTAGAATGTTATGAGTACTGTCTGAGCAGGACCGTAGTCTCCACCCTGAAGGATGAGAGAAACAGAGGAGCAAAAACTGCAGTTATAGCGGAGTGGGGAAGGATGAGTTGAGGTCAGTGCATAGTGCTCCAGGGCATTACCTAAAACATGATGGATAATCTTTTTCTATGTCTTTTACAACCACGCCAATTTAAAATTATTTCATATATGCAGTGGAACGTATGCGCATAATGTGTGTGTGTGTGTGTGTGTGTGTGTGTGTGTGTGTAAAGAATAATAAACAAGCCCCTGTGTGCCTGCCATCAGCTTACTGTCTTTCCTTTCAAGCACCGTGAGCTCTTCTCTGACCCTGTCCCATCCCAGTTTGACAGCAGGAGCCCCTTTCCTGAGCTCTTTGTTGATCGTTGCCTTTCTGTCCTTTTTAATTTTACCTCCATGTATGTATCCTTAAATAATAATAAATGAAATTAAGCTATTCTTCTGTCACTTCTTTTTTATGCCCATTGCAGTCGGGCATTATCATTTTGAAACAAGTACCCTAGTTGATTATTTTCACTGTTAAGTTTTATTTCACTGTATGTCTGTGTCACAATTTTTCCCTTCTGTTGCTGGATGTTTTAAACAGAAAAAGGAAGTGTCGCTATGAACATTTTTTGTGTGATTTCTGGTGTACATAACACAAGCATGGATGTATATACCTTGAATAGAATTGGTATGTCATATAATAAAACACATCATCGACTTTAGTGTATAAGACCAAGTTGTTTTCCAGAGTAATGGGACGAACTGCCACTCCCACTGGTATACTAGAATTTCTGGTTCTCTAGATCCTGACCAACTTTGGGATCCTCAGACTCAAATTTTTGCCAAGCTGAGTATAAAATGGTATCTTGTGATTTCATTTTGTATGTATTTGGTTACTAGTAGACTGAACATTTTTTATTATGGGAATTCTTATTTCTTTTTAAGATCCCTCTTTGAGTCTTTTGCCTTTTTTCTATTGTGTTTTTAATTACTATTTTAAAAAGTTATTTATTCTTAAATCTCTTTATCGGTTAATATTTATTTAACTATTAAAGAGAAACTATATTTAGAGTAGAAAAATCTTCTGAAGCCATTTCCAGAAGTATGGAAAGCATGTGAAACTTCATTCTATTTGGAGAAAATAAAGTTAAATGCATATATTGTGTGCTAATATTCAGTTTATCAGCATTATCAGCCAAAAGAAGATGTACTTTGGAAACCTCTCTATGCTCTGAAAGTACTCCTCCTTTGAAGCTATTTTAAGGCTCATCGATTCCAGTTATTTAGTAGGAAAATGAATGTCATGATTTGGTTTTCTGCTACAGAATTTCACCAGAAGGAGATCTTTATATAGACTGCATGTTTCTATATGCACATTTCCTTAGTATGTCAGCATATAATAAGCTTACAGCAATAGGCCAAAATGTTATTATATGTAAATGAACATTTTAAAAACCATTTATTTAAGTCATAGGAGATTGTATTGAACCTATACTCATAATGAAATAATCCTTAAGCTGAACAAGAAAGATCAGCATCATGTGAATATAACCCAGTGTGTTGTGACAGTAGCATGTTTTCCTGCACGTAAACTGATTGATTTGGTATAAGAACAAGAAACTACAATACAGTCTTACTTTGTGAGGCTCCTGCTAACCAGAGGACAGCATTCTTAATAGACTAAGGATCTGCCACATTGGACAGTATATCAGCTGAAAACCTGGTACTGCTTATAATGAATTGCACAAAGATTTAGATCTTTTTACAAAACAGCTCTCCACACTCTTAAAATATACATCATTTTTGGTTCTATAATAAAATTCACTATAACCAAAATTTCTACTGGAAAAATTCTTGTGCAAATAATTTATCATTAGTGTTATGGAAATGAAAGCTCTATAGTACAGAATAGTGCTATCAAGTATGGTACCAACAAACCACATAGACCTATTAGCACTTGAAATTAGTTGCATTTGTGATGTGCTGTGAGTTTAAAATATCTTCCAGGTTTTGAAGAGTTAATATAAAAAAAAGTAAAATATCTCAATAATTTTTATATTGATTACATTTTAAATGATAGTATTTACAGTATATTATGTTAAATATTAAACTTTTAATGGGGCTACTAGCAAATTTTAAATTATGTCTATAGCTTACAATATAGTACTACTGGGCAGTAGTGTTCTGTACCAGCCTCCTTACCCGAATTTACAATAGAGAAATTAATACCTTTGCAAGGTTTTTAGGGTTTGGGCAAAAATATTTCTTCATTTGGAATTATGAAAGGATATGCGGATATCTTTTGGCATATGATTTACTATACTGCTGCCAAGATAAATGCTTTTCTCATTTTGCTTTTTTGTCCTCTAGATTCAAACATTTTTATAGTGTGGGGGAGGGGCTGTTCTATTTTTCCTGAAATAAAGAGTAATGTGTATGTATTATAATATGAGACATCTCTGTATGTGTCCAGCCTCTTGTTTCTTTATTGTCCTAAAAAGTTGATGTCCCCTGTCACATTGACCCACATCTGTGAACAAAGTCATGGTGGCGTTTTTGTTTTTCCTTTTGTTAAAGACAGAATTTAATGAACCACCCAGATGCCATCTATAATCTGCAGAACAGTGATGAATATTAATAGGATTTTGTCCTATATTTCCTAAAATGTTAATCCTCTGTATCTGTAAAATCCATTTGAGCACATAAGAATATATGGATAATCTGTTTTTTTAAAGTTTCTTTCTGACCTCACTGCTAAAGATGAAAACAAAATGTGTGTATTAAGGGACAGTATCTTTTCCCTGCCCCAGGTGTTTAACCATTTTCTTTTTGCTACTCTCTTAGCAAAATAGTTTTTGGGGGGAATCCTGTGTTAGTTGTGGTATTAAAATAATTGATGGGAATAATACTGGGTTAAGTGGAAGAATATTTGGGGGGATTATTTTGTTTGGGATCCTTCCCTGAAATAAGAGAGTGACTCTACTACAGCCTTTGCAAGCCAAGAGATGCCAGTCATTTCTTTCCTGTAGCCACTTTGCATGTTGTTTTGGGCTTATTTGTCATTCTAATGAACTACCACACCTATGTAGGATTTTGCCTTTGGGGATGGGTGGAACAATTTGAGATGCATCATAGACAAACATTTTTAACACTAATTTGATTTAGTTTATTGATATCCCATCTGTTAAGTTGGGATAATATTTTTATCTTATTTTTCTCCCTGTCAATCATTTTATGTCATGTACTAATAACATCACTAGGGTGAAATACTCATTCTGGGCTCTGAGACAGCCCACAGCTAGGCTTAAAGATGGCTCTGAGATCAATAGCTGGGGGAAAACACAGCAATTTCACATTAACTCTGTTATCCCACCAGACTTAGCCTTTTTTCTCTCTCTTCCTGTCTGTAGTGGTAAACCACTCTTAAATAATCTGTCCCTAGCCACATTCTAACCAACTAGTACAGCCGGTAGCAAAAGTGTTGACAGCAGCAATATTTTTACTCCCCAGATTGGCAACCAGAAGGAAAGACTCCAGCTGCATCTTCCCTTACTCTACTGTTTTACATACCCAATAAATATTTATTATACTATATCCTAGTCATAAATGAAACACCAAATACTGACAGGTTTCCCGTCTAGTCATAAGGTGACTGGGCAAGCAGAATTTTAGCAGTTACATATTTATAGGTAAAATGACTACAGCATTCTGACTTGTGGACAGTTTTCAAATGACAACAGCAGGAACAACCCCACCCCCCGCCATTGACTCATTTAGGACCCAGAGTGCTTCTAAGTGAGACCCTTCCAGAGACCTAGTTCTCTAGGGAGTTGTACAGGCATCCCCAAATTTAAATAGTTACATCTGCAGTGAGGATGGACAGGTACTACTGGAATCAGATAGATTCTAAGCAGGCAAAATGATAGGGGGATTTGGGTGGTAGTGGTTTCTACCAAACAGAAAATGGTCTTCCTAAAAATGAGTCATTTTTAGCAGAGAATGGGTTTCAAGTGTTGGTGAAGATCTGTTTTCTCCAATGTTTTCATCATTACCAGAAACTTTTACTAATCATTCTTATTGAAGATGGTCTTTTATTGGGTAATATTTTTGATACGAGCATGGTGCCCAGAGTGAGGGAGAGGCCACAGGAAACACTTGTGGCAGCGTGCGCACCTGATGACAGATTTCCCCACCCCGAGTCCCAGATGAATAGGAGGCCTGGCAAAAAGTATGCGTGAGGCTAGTGAGAATGATCTTGCACCCCCTTCCAGTCTCTGAGTAAAGGTGGGACCAGGGGACACAGTGGCACATGTACCATAAAGGTCAACATGGCAGTAGGGGGAGGTGTTGGTCAGTCTAGCCTGGGAAAGGGACCAGATTGGCTGGGGAGACTGGACGCTCCCTGAGTATGCAGTAGTTAGGATGGGGAGATTTAAACCAAAGGAAGGGAGAAGCATGTGCTTCTCTGGGATCCACGACAGGGACATGGGGGCTGGAGCTTTGTGGGACCGGCCTCATGCCAGCATGACAGAGCCTCTGCGTGGCCAACTGCAGTGGTTGAAAGCGGCTGCAAGCTCTGTGTGGGAAGCGGCAGGGGCATAGCAGTGCTGGTCCCACACACAGACTTCAGGAAGGAGAGGGAAGCTGGACAGTGGCAGGGAACGAAGCTGAGCTTCTTGGATGGTCCTGCTGCAGCTGCCTGCAGTTTCCAAGGGATGGTATGGGAGAAGGAATTTGGTGCAGCCTTACTCTGAGGCAGAAACCCGTCATTCTTCCAGACTGTGCAGTTTTTTAATAAAAGATCTATTTCCTTTTTCAACAAACCTCTGCCTCCGGAATTTGCCTATGGGTGGGGGCAGGCTGACAAACCCCACTTTCTGTTCAGTAACATTTTCAATATATGAGGTCTGTCCAGAAGGTATACAGTCATATACTATGAAAAATAGAGACATATATTTAAGAAGATAAAAGATACAAGAAACATTGTACATAGGACAATGATACCTCAGTCTCCTTCAAAGCAGGAGACAGTTCTCCCAGTCGCCATTAGCTGCCCTGTTGTATTTTCCTGAATCTCATCAACTGTCTAAAATATCTTCCCTTTCAAAGGTGATTTTAGTTTTGGGAAAAGCCAGAAGTTGCAGGGCAGTAAATCTGGGCTGTATGGAGACTGAGTCACGTGGATGATTTGATGTTTCACCCGAAACCCTGCATCAGACTTGATGCATGAGCAGGCATGTTGTGATGAAGCTGCCAATCACCAGCTGCCCATAGCTGTGGCCTTCTGAATCATTCATATAGATTCCATGGAGAAATGTTTACCTTAATGCAAAATTTGATGCAGATTCTTTGCTCTTCTCACTCAGTCATTTTGAATGCAATGACCAT